CTCAAAAGGTAGATGCATTTTTAGTAGTTTGAGGCAACTCCAAACAGTTTTCCATAATGGTTGCACAAGTTTGCATTCCCACCAGCAGAGTAGCAGAGTTTCTTTTCTCCAAAACCTTGGCAATATTTGCTGTTTCCTGTTTTTTAAATATGTGCCATTTTCACTGGTGTAAGTTGGTATCTCATTATGGTTTTGATATGCATTTCCCTGATTTAAGTGATGTCAAACATTTTTCATATACTTGTTGGCCATTTGCATTTCCTCTTTGGAGTAGTCTTTTTTGATCTTTTGACAATTTTTTGACTGGATTGTTTTCTTTTGTTGAGTCATGTGAGCTCTTTGTGATCAGTCCCTTATCAGTTGCATTGTGAGCAAAAATCTTCTCCCAATCAGAAGGGTGTCTCTGGGTTTTGGTTAATGTCTCCTTTGGTGTACAAAAGTTTTAGTTTGATGTAATCCTAGATATTTATCTTTTCTTTGTTTTCTCTGCTTTGGGGAATGTGTCTTTAAAGGTGTTGCTGAGATGTATTTCTTGTAGTGTTTTGCCTATGTTTTCATCTATCTACTTTATGGTTTCAGGTGTTATGTTGAATTATTTTATCCATTTTGAGTTTGTTTTTTGTGCATGGTATGAGGTATTAGTCTAGCTTCATTTTTTTTTTTTTTTGCATGTAGCAGTTCAGTTTCCCAGCATCATTTATTGAATAAACTGTCCTTGTTGCATTGCATATACTTTGCTCCTTTGTCAAAGATTAGGTGCCCATAAATATGTGGGTTTATTTCTGGGTTTTCTATTTGATGCCATTGGTCTGTGTGTCTGCTTTTGTTCCAGTACCATACTGTTTTAATTATTATGGCTTTGTAGTATAATTTGAAATCTGGCAGTATGATGCCTCCATTCTCCTTTTTAGTCAGGAGAGCTTTCATTATTTGCAGAAACCTTGATATTGTTGACATCAAAACCAAGCCAGAGGCCTCCCTGGTGGTGCAGCAGGTTGAGCAGAGCACTGTGAAGCTGTCCACAGCCTCTGCAGCATGGGCTCGAATCCTGGCCAGCTAGGGAGATTCCCACATGGCACAGCAGACCTCTCCTATCTCACCCACTGCTCCGCTCAGCAGTGCTTTCAGTCTGTCTGCCTGTTCTGTGCCCCGCTGTCTCTGGTGAATCGCCTCAGCCTCCCATGCCTCTGACCTGTACCCCACTTCTTGTATAAAAAGGACAAATCTTTAATAAAAAAAGGAGCCTGTCTACATTCTCAAAAACAATGTAGGATTGTTCCATATTCTCCATGTTCTCACCAGCACTTGTTAATATCTGGTCTTTCTAATATAAGGCATTCTTACAGACATGAAGTGATTTGTCACTGTGTTTTAAATCAGGGGATCATGAACAGATCAAAAAGGTGTGGTACATATATACAGTGGAATGTACTCAGTGATTGAAACCATAAACTTATGCCATTTGGGAAATATGGATGGGGTAGGAAGGGAGTATATTAAGCTTGATAAGTCAAAAGGAAAAAAAAATATCAGGTGGTTGTCCTTATATGTGATATATACGAAACCAAACAGAGGGTCAGAATAAAGACAAAATTTGCAACCTGATTATAGATTTGAGACATACAGAAGGGGAAAGGGAGAGAGATGATTCCAAATAGGGGAGAGAAGAGCACAAGGGACTGTAGTGATGGATCATGGGTGCTATGGTGGTGACGGAACTACAAGGACTACACCTGAGAGAGAAATCAAATATTATACAAAAATTAACAATGAATAGATTTAATTTAAGAAATTTATATCAATCACTGATATAATGGGGGGGTGAGAGAAATTCTACCACATTCAGTTCTACACAAGGCATAGCTCTCTCACTCGGTGAAGGAAAATAATATTGAAGAAATTCAGGTGAATCACCTTAAATGATAACATTCTCAATAGTCCACTGCATCCTCAGAATGTCCCTCTCACATCTCTCTCTGGTGTGTCCCAGGGGATGAGAGACATCCCAGAGTCCTGGGGACTGTTTCTGCTGAGGAAACACAAAAGAGATCCTGGTCAGAGGCCAGAGATGAGACCCTCGGAGGAAATGATGAGGGTGACAGTGAGCCTCTAGTGGGCTCTGAGACCTGGGACGCTGGTCGTGAAGGACTCACCAGATGGGGGACTGCTGTCAGCTACAAGCAATGATTCTCTATTTTTCTCAGCATGGTTATATGGGAACTATGAACAAGGACCTCTGCATTTTATCGTAAGTCAGAGAAAGCAAAACAAACTTGCCTCGCATGCCATGCGCGTGAGCTCACACACACCACATATGTGAACCCTTGGGCTTGTTGGACATGCCTGTCCTTGTGAGCCTCTGTTGCTAAGTTACCACAGAGGAGACTTCCAAGGACAAAGCGAGTTCGGGTGTCCCTCCCAGGCTGTTCCCCCCTGGTACATGTACGTTTTCTCAGCGTTTCGGTCAGCCCTTCCCTTGCCGGCCTCAGGTCACCTCTCGATCATCCTCATGCAACATCCCCCCTTTCTTTTTCTTTAAAAAGAGGGCTAAGATCTTTGAGGTGGAGTATTGTTCACTCATGGTTCGGCAGAGGAAGGAGTATCCTACACAAAAAATAATCACACATATTAGTACAACAATCACAGCACTACTAACGCTATGGGTCATGCTCTGCATAAATGATTGTGAGTCCATTCCCTGAAGTGCCTCGGCTATTCCTTGAGCCAGTGCCTCATATGTTTCCTTGGGTAGATCAAGCAAAAACAATCCAACACCTGTTGTTGAAGAGCATGAACATCCAAGGACATATTACCAGAGATACTGTCAGGTGGTATCGGATTACCTGCCAGAAGTGGTTCAAACTACTGTACTGCACTGGAGTCACATAGCAAGCTGAGACATTCCAGTCACAATGTAGCATAATCTGATGTTGAAGTGCTACAAACTGGCCACCTAGCCATTGAACAGCTTGTTGTAATTTGCCCAGGCAACCCTCCAGTTCCTCATCCAGATGAAGGTGAGGCTGCCAAAGCTGCCTGGAATCCTTGTGACCTTGCATTCCAGCTCATAGTCTGCAGCCGTGGAGGATTAGGGACATAGATCCAATAAAAAGATTCTGCACCAATTACCTCCACAATGGCCATCATTTCAAAAAACAAAATCACAGAATTTCGAGGTTTCTTCGTATGGGCCACCACTCTCAGCTTGATGCACCAGCTTCTTCAACTGTCCCCATGTTGGAGGATCTGCCTTATTGCTGTTGAAAGTGGGGTTGGTCACTGCTATCAGGCTCAAGCTGTTCATCTCCTGAGTCAGAGGCTTGAAGTGGAATCTCCCCCTCTTGGCCATAATGAGGCTTAATCAGTTTTGAAGGTAACCACCGCTCTCTGGCTTCCAGACCTGGAGAAACACAAGTAAACCCTCTTCCCCAGTTGAGCACCTCTCCCTTTTCCCACTGATTGGTCATCTCATCTTTCCACCAAATGGGCTGTTTTACTACAGCCACTTCTGAATGCCAATGCTTTTTAGCTGCAGAACAGTCAGTATCAGCCTGCAAATTTAAAAAAATTAGAGTAATAAGTGCTTGAGCAATCAGTGTAGCAGGGGACTCTCTCCCCCTTTTTTGATTTTTAAGGGCAGATCCCAGGACATAGTCTTAGGAAACAGTTTTTTTCCAGGGTTTTGTGTATGTTAGAGAATAACAGTCTGCCACCAGTATTGTCCATGAAGTTCCAGTATTGACAATCCTTCATTACTGGAAATTAGTTAGGCCATGCCAAAAAGCATTAGAAGGCATTAACCAAAACAAAACAGTAAATATGTCAAATCACAGGAAAAAAGAAGCAAAAAGAAAATTCTGAAAACTAGTTTAACTTATTTAAAAACAAGTTTTCTCTACCTTGATTCCAATTTTATATAACAGTACAGCAAAATATTTGTGAACTAAATTTACTTTTAGACAAATTTGCCTATTTTTGCATAAAATCACAAGGCAGAATAACCAAACAGCAATTTTTGTAGCTTTGTTGGAATACTCCAAATAGGATCAGATGGAACTGTTAAAATAGGATCTAAAAATAGGCTTCAGGAACACAGCTGGTCTCCCCAGACTCCACCTGGGCTTTCCTCTTTTCGAGGGTACCAGGACTTTTTCTTTTTCCGGGTTGGCCAGTCCTGCCAATGAAGGCAAGCTTCCTCATCATTTTTGGAGGTCTCTGGAACCCTATGAACAAAGCAGCAGTTTCTCCTTTTTTTGGTTCAGCTCTATGTCAACTCCCTGGAAAAATTCCACTCAAAGCCACACAAAATGTAAATACAACTTAGCTAAAACCTAGTAAAAATCAGGTGTAACTCCAACAGTCTATGCAGTCCTTTGCAGAAAATTTTTACTGTCAAAAGTTGCATCAATTTGAATCAATTGAGGCCTTTTCTCTTTATTTTTTGTAGAAACCATTGAAGTACACAATATTGCAAGGCAACAATAACCATTGACAATTTGCATACATACCAGGTACTGAAAGATTTTTGCCGGAGGCCAGCTCCTGCAAAATGTCATGTCAAGGGTCCCTGCAGCACTAGATGACATCAGCAAAGTGGAGGGATGAGGGGATGAGGGAATGAGGAGACACAAACACTTGATAGGGTGCAAGTATCTCCTGCTGAGGGTCTCAGAGGGTCTTTATTTATACATCAGAATTTTTTTATTTGATCATTACATCATGCATTATGTCATTTACGTTGTGTCAGAATTTATTTTTGATCACTCAGTGCACAACCCATTTCTTAATTTTCCTAGTTTATGATTAACTTGGTTACTTGGTTACATTAACTTGGTTACATATTTTCCTAGGTGATGTATGTTATTCAGAAAATAAAAACAGGTGCTACACACAACGTGATTTATGCGGTCAGGCTAGGTAAATAAAACAAGGCTAAGCAGGGATTGTAAGATGGAGGGCGGCCTCCTATTTTCTATATAGAACCTAAGGTTTCCCGGTACCGTGGGAACAGTATGTGGTGTGTCTTTCTCAGACCATTTTGCCTCCTCTGGTGCCTCAGGGCCTTCTCTTCTGGTTCCAACAGCTCTATCAAATGTGGCTTGTTAAAGAACTCAATGTTATTCATGGTAACTGAGTTACAAATTGGAGGATGTGGAGAATCATTGGAAACCGTTTCATTATCAATCATGTTGGAAGGCACTTTTCTTAAACTACTGAGGTGTGCATCACCGAAACTGGCATTGATGCCAGCACTCATTGTGTTATTCTGGAGCTTATAGAAAACTTCCATGGTTTCAATAACTGCCACAACCGAGTGAAAAGAAGTAGCTGGAGCCAGCTAAGGAGTTTTCTGACGTTTCAGAAATTTCCCCCATGCCCAGACCTTGGCAGACAGCATGAGTAGCATGGCCTGCACTAGATTTTGTTTTAGAAAACCAATATTAACATTTCTGTACATGCCAAAGTTTTACCATTTTCCAAGTGACAATGCTTCCCTTTCAGTGTAACTTTATTAAGTAGACCAAATAGTACAAATTTATCTAATGTCTTTCCCAGGAGGAAAGGGAGAAAGTTTGTGGAGTGTTTCTGGAGCTTTACTGAGGTTCCACAAAATTTCCTTCAATCGATCAAATGAGAGGCTACCAAATTTTACTTCAATTTAGATTTTTGGAAAGCTTTGCCATAAATATTAGAAAACAGCAACAACAACCATATTTAATCTCTATGAAAGTTCCAGCCCTAAGTATAATATTGACATTCAAATCATAACCTTTAATTTTCATCTCAAAAACCTTAGTAATTTTTCAGACACTTAAAAGACATTATGTACCCAACATCATTAACCCAGACAAGAGCTAAGGTTATACCCAATGCGAGTTTATAAGTACATGTTTTAAAACAACCCATTGGATTAAAACTCAGTTACTTTTAACAAAAATTATTCCAGCTGATGTGTTCCCAAGACACTAAAGCATCTAAGAAAGTTTAGTTGTAGCTTTAGTTCCTGTTATGACTGGAATTCCATTTTGCAGGGCTGTTAATAAAACAATGGCACATACCAAGTTTTTCTAGGCTGGCTAATAATCAAACAAGCATTAGGCAGATTAATAAAAACAAGAAAAAATCAGAGTAACATATAGATACTATGTACATTTTTCATATACATGTGACTCAGTAGGAAAGACAAAAGTACCTTTTATACCAGAAGTTTCTTTTGAAATAAACACATTTAAACAGAGTAAATTATTAATACTTAACATTATAACTTTAAAGCATATATGCTTTGAATTATATCATAAGATTTATAATTAATCCTCTGGAGGTAAAAAACAAAACAAAACAAAGACAGTTACAAACAAACAGAGAGTTCTTGATATTCATATTCAACTTTGGTCATGTGTATAAATTTTAAGAGATATTTATTTTATCAATATTTGTGAAGACACTGAGAAACCTGTTAATGATTTAATTTTAGTTCTATAACAATTCTTTTAGATCAAACATATTTTAAATTTGTATTTTTAAGAGTGACTGGCTTTGAAGAAGCTGCGCACAGAGAATTTACATTAGTATTTTAAAACCTGAAAAAAAATTCCTTCAAAATTGTAAAAGAGCCTTTATAAAACATCTCAAACAACCTAGTTTTTGAGATGCCTTAGCTTCTCATTTATGTTTGATATTCCCACTTACCAAGTTTTTTTTTTGTTACACTTTTATATTAAGAAGGTTTTTAATGAGTTAAAAGCCAAAATCTTTACATAGAATATGTGTCCAATCTTAATTATTACTAAAGACCTTGGGCTTGAGACTACAACAGTCACGGCAGTTTTTACTAACTTTTTTTAGATAAGAAATTTTTTTTGAGTTTATATTTTAAAGAAATGATCCTTTGGCTTTAAGTTGTTATTGTTTTATCTCACCGAGAACAAGCATATTTTTAAAAGATTTATTTATTTATTTATATAAGAACCAGGGTACAGGTCAGATGCGCGGGAGGGTGAGAGGATTCACCAGGGACAGAGCGGGGAACATAACAGGCAGACTGACGAAATACACTGCTGAGGGGAGCAGCAGGCAAGACAGGAGAGGTCTGCCACGCCATGTGGGACCCTCGCCAGCCAGCCGGGATTGAACCAGTGCTGCAGAGGACAGCTTCACAGTGTGGCACTCAACCACCTGAGCCACCAGAGGAGGCCTTGAGAACAAGCATATTTTTAAGACAAAAAAGAGCAAGTAAGTAAATTCAAAAGTTTTTACTCAAGCAATAAGCATTTTGTAGGAGACACAGGGAAATAGGATTTTTTACCTATAGAACAGGCCAGAATGATGTTTTAAGGTGGACAAAAGGAGAGTCCAGTCCCCCACAGCAGAAAGGCAGCAGAGACCTGCCAGTGATCTCAGCACTGGAGAAAAAGTCCAGGCAGCTGCTTGCTGAGACTGGGGTAGCCTCCACCTGTCCACCACAGTAGCTTTACATTATTTTAATAAAAACCTTTTAGTCTCATATAGTCATATTATAACCATTTCCTATCACTTTAACAATTGTGAATGAACTTCGAATACCATTTTTTAGAAATAACTTTTTTATTTTTCTTAAAAAAACAAATGGCAAAACTCTAGTGGCAGAAACCCTGGCCTCCCCCCACCCCAAATAATTAACAGGAAAAGCTTGAAGCATTTCTTCCTCCATTTATAAGACTGTGTCACGTTATCTCTTACTTGTTCCCAAGTTTCTATATCCAGCAACCTGCCCTCTGGGAACCATGGGTTATATTTTTCAACTACCGTTAAACATTCTAGAATCTGGTTAAGGGGTATTTTTGCCCTATGGTGAGAAAGCAGATGCTGCAGAAGCAAAGCGAAAGTAGAAAGCCTTGAAGAAGATTGCCCCATCTGGAATTCCCACCTCTACTCACATCCTTCTGTGGAGTCGTGACCACTGCTGTCACCTCGTCACTTCAGTGGGAGGTTTCTCCTTCAGGTCCCTGTTGGGCGCCACTTGTGAGCCTCCAGTGGGCTCTGAGACCTGGGACGCTGGTCGCAAAGGACCCACCAGACGGGGCAATGCTTTCAGCTACAAGCAGTGATTCTCTACATTTCTCAGCATGGTTATATGGGAATTGTGAACAAACACATCTGCGTTTTATCATAAGTCAGAAAAAGCCAAAACAACCTTGCCTCGCACACCATGTGCGTGAGCTCATACACATCACTTATATGAGCCCTTGTGCTTGTCGGACATGCCTGTCCTTGTGAGTCTCTGTTGCTAAGTTACGACCAAGGAGACTTCCAAGGACGAAGCAAGTCCAGGGCGTCCCTCCCAGGTGGTTTTCCATCCTGGCATATGCGAGTTTTCTCAGCGTTTCGGTCAGCCCTTCCCTTGCCATCCTCAGGTCACCTCTTGATCATCCTCGTGCAACAGTGACTCTCCCTAGAGTTCCCTCTACACTGTCCTCAGGGGCTCAGGGATCCAACCCCTGATCTACACTTACCTGCACCCTGAGTGTAGCTGATTGCTTGTCCCCCTACAGGAAGAAACATCATGTGAGATAAGGGAGTAGTCAGCGCATGGAGTCCTAAAGGAATCTCCAAGTCTGGGTCACAGGGAAATTTCTAGAACTGTGATTGAAGACCCAGGTCAGGGCTGGGATATATGAAGAATGGATATGAAAGGGAATTGGAGTCTTTCCACAGCAGGGTCCCTTCCCATTGGCATTTGCTGGGAAACAGATCCCCATCACCACAATTATAAGGTGAATAATTGGTGATTCATTTTCAAAAGTGCTTTACAAAAACCTGAGTGTTAGCAATCAGCACTAGACTGGGCAACATATGTGTGGATGGTACTTCCTCCTACCCAGGTAAGGCAAGTCCTCCCTGGGACACGAAAGCCCCCAGTGGACAAATTCCCCTACTCCCTTCCCTACCTGAGCACTTCTTCCTCCACATCACAGCTGCAGCCACCACAGCTCCAGTGAGCACAGCTCCAAGGAAAACCAGGCCAGCAATGATGCCCGCGGTGGGGACAGAGGACTGAGGAGGGGGCACTGGAAGGGACAGGAAGATGAGACCCTGAGCCCCAGGAACATCCTGACTCTCTGAAAGTCTCCAGAAGGGCTCCTGATTCCTCCAAGCAGAAGCTCAGGGCCTCTCTGGTGGCACAATGGGTTGAATGCAGTGCCTGTAGCTGTCCACAGCCTCTGCAGCACGAGTTCGATTGCCACCTGGCCAGGGAGATACCCACATGGCATGGCAGATCTCTCCTATCTCGCCTGCTGCTCCCCTCAGCAGTGTTTTCGGTTGTCTGCCTGTTCTTCTCCCCATTCTGTCTCTGGTGAATTCTCTCACCCTCCTGCACCTCTAACTTTTACCCCAGTTCTTGTATAAATAAACAAATATTTAAAAAAAAGAAAAAAAGAAACTCAGAGCCCATCCTTACCCCATCTCAGGACTTGGGGTTCCAGCAGCCCCTCATGCTGCACATGGCAAGTGTAGCTCTGCTCCTCTCCAGAAGGCACCATCACAGCCGCCCACTTCTGGAAGGTTCCATCCCCCCCAGGCCTGGTCTCCACCAGCTCCATCTCCTGGGTCAGTTCCTCCCCATCTCGCTGCCAGGTCAGGGTGATGTCTGCAGGGTAGAAACCTAGGGCCCAGCACCTCAGGGTGACATCACGGTCAGAGGTGACGTGGAGGGAAACCTGTGTCTTTGGGGGATCTGAGGAGAAGGGTCAAAAAAAATCACACTTTGGGTTTTCCTTCCTGGACACTGAAGCAGACTCACTGACCATCCTCAGAACAAACATGATAATTGGTTTGGAGGGAGGAAGCACAAAACCCAAAAACCAGCCTAGTCTGGGGAATCTGGGATAATTAGGTGAGAGCCCATGAGGGAGGATGCAGGTCTCTGGGGAGAACACAGACTTTTACTCCAGACTTGGTTGGAGGGTGAATGACACAGAAAGGCAGGAGTCAGGTCCAGAAATGTTCTCAGACCAAAAACAAGGCCTTGAAAGAAACACTCATGTTTCCCAGGATGGCTGCCAGGTCAAAAGGATCCTGGAAGTGTTATTTCAGGATGGCCTCCCCTCTCTCAGGAGAGACTGGATTCCTTAACCCTCCAGAAAA